TCCAGGGAGGGGACACAGTTTCATAGATGTGGATTTTCGAAAGAAATCAGTACATGTATATTATTTACTATATTTTTCATTTTATTGATTATATGGAAAGCATTGTTCATTAAAATGTTGTATCCTATGTTATAGGGCTTGTTTCTACAATTTCCTGTCTCACAATGTACCGTTTGTGTCCAGGAAGGGTTTATAGTTTCATAGATGTAGATTTACGAAAGAAATCAGTACATGTATATTATTTACTATATTTTCCATTTTATTGATTTTATGGAAAGCACTGTTCATTAAAATGTTGTATCCTATGTTATAGGGCTTGTTTCTCTCTACAATTTCCTGTCTCACAATGTACCGTTTGTGTCCAGGAAGGGTTCATAGTTTCATAGATGTCGATTTTCGAAAGAAATCAGTACATGTATACTATTTACTATCTTTTTCATTTTATTGATTATATGGAAAGCATTGTTCATTAAAATGTTGTATCCTATGTTATAGGGCTTGTTTCTCTCTACAATTTCCTCTCTCACAATGCACCGTTTGTGTCCAGGAAGGGTTCATAGTTTCATACATGTCGGTTTTCGAAAGAAATAGGTACATTTATTTTATTTCGTATATTTTTCATTATATTGATTTTATGGAAAGCACTGTTCATTAAAATGTTGTATCCTATTTTATAGGGCTTATTTCTCTCTACAATTTCCTATCTCACAATGTACCGTTTGTGTACAGGAAGGTTCATAGATGTAGATTTACGAAAGAAATCAGTACATGTATATTATTTACTATATTTTTCATTTTATTGATTATATGGAAAGCATTGTTCATTAAAATGTTGTATCCTATTTTATAGGGCTTATTTCTCTCTACAATTTTCTGTCTCACAATGTACCGTTTGTGTACAGGAAGGGTTCATAGTTTCATAGATGTAGATTTACGAAAGAAATCAGTACATGTATATTATTTACTATATTTTTTATTTTATTGATTTTATGGAAAGCACTGTTCATTAAAATGTTGTATCCTATGTTATAGGGCTTGTTTCTCTCTACAATTTCCTGTCTCACAATGTACCGTTTGTGTCCAGGAAGGGTACACAGTTTCATAGATGTCGATTTTCGAAAGAAATCAGTACATGTATATTATTTACTATATTTTTCATTTTATTGATTATATGGAAAGCATTGTTCATTAAAATGTTGTATCCTATGTTATAGGGCTTGTTTCTACAATTTCCTGTCTCACAATGTACCGTTTGTGTCCAGGAAGGATTTATAGTTTCATAGATGTAGATTTACGAAAGAAATCAGTACATGTATATTATTTACTATATTTTTCATTTTATTGATTATATGGAAAGCATTGTTCATTAAAATGTTGTATCCTATGTTATAGGGCTTGTTTCTACAATTTCCTGTCTCACAATGTACCGTTTGTGTCCAGGAAGGGTTCACAGTTTCATAGATGTCGATTTTCGAAAGAAATCAGTACATGTATATTATTTACTATATTTTTCATTTTATTGATTATATGGAAAGCATTGTTCATTAAAATGTTGTATCCTATGTTATAGGGCTTGTTTCTACAATTTCCTGTCTCACAATGTACCGTTTGTGTCCAGGAAGGGTTTATAGTTTCATAGATGTAGATTTACGAAAGAAATCAGTACATGTATATTATTTACTATATTTTTCATTTATATTGATTTTATGGAAAGCACTGTTCATTAAAATGTTGTATCCTATGTTATAGGGCTTGTTTCTCTCTACAATTTCCTCTCTCACAATGCACCGTTTGTGTCCAGGAAGGGTTCATAGTTTCATAGATGTCGGTTTTCGAAAGAAATCGGTACATTTATTTTATTTCGTATATTTTCATTATATTGATTTTATGGAAAGCACTGTTCATTAAAATGTTGTATCCTATTTTATAGGGCTTGTTTCTCTCTACAATTTCCTGTCTCACAATGTACCGTTTGTGTACAGGAAAGGTTCATAGTTTCATAGATGTCGATTTTCGAAAGAAATCAGTACATGTATATAATCAAACCATGAGTTTGTACAATGTGTGTAATTTCGATTTTTGCTTAGATTTAATAGACATTTAAAAACCCTATAATTTCTGTATTTAACTTTTTTGCGGTACCTTGTATATTTTACTTAATAATCGACCGTTTCCATACATAACAGCGACCCTGTATTGTTTTTGTACTAATGCTTATTTTTTATAGCTTATATGTATTTTCTGTATTTTTTAGTACATAAAATTTCTCTACACCTTGCTGAATTTTCTCTACCAAATGAAACGTCAAAGGCAAAATAGTATACAATAATTATACATATTCAATGGAGATTGCTCACGATGCACGATATATAATTTTAACTTTGCAATAAATATAGTAAAACGAATTGTAATTAGAATTATATTTCTACTGAAATATACTATAGGTGAAAAAGAAATTAGAAGTTTTAATGTCAAAATAAAATTCTGAAATATATGTCTTTTAAATATGATGTTATATTGGTATTTTCTAGTTTTGATAAAAATGGTAATATCATTGTAATTAACTTTTCTGAAAACAACATCATTAATTAAAAATCAAAGAATGGTTCAAATATTAGAACTTTCAGACAAATTACTGTAACACTAATTTGTATAGTTACCCTTAGTTCAGTCAAATATACAGGGCGAGTCTTAAATAAGTGCAAATATCTTTAGGGGTGTTGATTATAAAGATGTTGAAAATCGTACATTTTCTTTTAAATTTTCCTGTATATTTTAGAAAATTTTTTTAAATAAATATTTTTTTTTGAAATTTTCAAATTTGAATAACTCGATTATTTTGGACTTATTTGAAAAACGGTAAATAGAAAATACGTTTCTTTTATCGAGATCTACCAGCCCTGAAAATATTTGTACTTATTTAAGACTCTATTGAACAGGAATATAATTTGGAATAATAATATAAGAATAATATATTATTAATATTTTTGTCCTTCTCTAAATAATAGCGATTATACACAAATGTGAATTTCATCTAATATAGTGTTATTTAATAAGTAGTAATAGTAATGGATGGACAAAATTTACTTATTTAAAAAAATATTACATTTAGTATTACCCTTGATTATGGATATTTAATAAGTAATAGTACTATAGTAAAAATCGGACTAAACAGAAAATTCCCTTTTTATTAATCCTTTTTATCTATAAACATTTTCTAAAGAAATATTTAAGTATTTCAATACTTGCGCATCCGGCAAAATGCAAATAAAAATCTGCTATCTTTATCCATTGGAATAAAAAAATAAGTTTAGTTAATAATAAATAGATTTTAATAATAAAATACTTCCTAAATTTCTGTTATCTTACCTTAATAAATAGTTAGATAGTGCTTTGCTATCTAGAATTATACAGGGTGGTCCAAAATGTATTCCGGAAACTTCGGCAACATATTCTGCAGAAAAAATAAGTAAAAAAGTTCCTATAAATGTATGTCTTAAAATGCTTAGTTTAGGAAATACAGGGTGTAGAAGTTTCATTTTTATTTCGAGTTTTTTCAACTAATTTATGAAGTAACGTCAATATTTGGATGAAAATTGGTGTCTGGGAGTATTTTGACATGAGATATTTGATTTTGATGTCAATATGATTCCTACTTGTAGAGGGCGGCACCTATATAATTTTTAACTGGTTTGAAGAGTTATGACTTTTCGTCCGTACCTGTATAAAACTATTGAGTAAAAAAATATACATTCATGACAGTTTTTACGTAAAAAGGGACTCTTGGTAAAAATCGCTAGGAGCTAGGAGTAATTGTTATCGAGATATTTGGAATAGAAATTATCAATACCTGTCATCATTGACATAAATTAAACATGTTGACTAAATAGTTATTAGCCTGAAATCATAAATTTGAAATGTTTTTGTGCCAAAAGTTCTTTATCATCATTTTTGTCGCAAAAAAAAAATTCCCAAATTTATTATTTCAGTCAAATAACTGTCTACTCAATATATTTATTTTTTGGCAATAATGAGATGTATTGACTTTTTCCATTCTAAATATCTTGAGAACGGTTTATCGTAGCGATTTTTACCGAGAAACATTTTTTAAGTAAAAAGTCACGGAAATGGAGATTTTTTCATTCAGTAGTTTTATACAGGTACGGACAAAAAGTTATTACTCTTCAAAACAGTTAAAACACATGTAGGTGGCACTCTCTGCAAGTAGGAGTCATATTTACACTAAACTCAAATTTCTCATGGCAAACTCCCGGGCATTAATTTTTTGTCCAAATATTGACGTTATTTCATAAATTATTAAAAAATCGAAATAAAAATGAAACTTCCACCCTGTATCTCCGAAACTAAGCATTTTAGGACATACATTTTCTACGAACTTTTACCTATTTTATCTGCAGAATATACTGTCGAAGTTTCCGGAATACAGTTCGGATCACCCTGTGAAACTTTAAATTTCATAGAAATAATTTCGTAAAGTATTTTAAGTTAACGGTGCATTTTGCTGCCAAAATAATCTGGATATACTTTGTTTTGCGGAGTCCAAACCGCGAAATGGTCTTAAAAACTTAAGTGAGTCGTCTGAACCCATGACTTAAAATAAAAAATTAATTTTACTACAACCAGCTTTTACTAGATCTCCGATCTTCCAACCAGGATGAATGGGCAGTGCGTCTCAATTGAACTTTTACTTTTTGCCAACAACAGCACGATGCAGTATTTTCAGACGATGACCAAAATTGAGTTTCCTTTTAACTATTCGTTACCCTCCCTCTATTTTTCTATCAATTTACGCATCAGTCATAACATTAATATATGAATGAATCACACAAAATATGCCCGTCCCTGACGATGTTTTCTTTTAAATTTGATAACAATATTAATGCTTTATGACATTTTGTGTAATCCATAAAAAAAAACAGTATATTGTTTGTTAATAAAATCAAATGATCTTCTTATCTTTACCAGATGTACTGATAACATTAGTTGCCTGAAATGCGTTTAGCGTTGAAGATGTATCAATTATTTTTATAATTTTAGCAATAAACTCAGTCTTATTATTAGTCAAAGGTAAGAAAGAAATTAACGTTTATGATATATTATCATCGTTTGACATCTAAATAAATATATTTCTGTCATTTTTTTAATTTTATTATTTATTTACTTAGGGTTTTAAATCAATTAAAAAATAGGATTATAACATAGTCCTATAATCGGTCGAGATATTAAATCCCGTGAGTTTTTTTAGGGCACCTTTTTTTATTATTTAAAATAATTTTTAAGGTATTAACTTTAAAAATAAATTAAGCGTGGAAGACACTTATACCAGTGGAAAAAAAGGTTGTAAATAAAAATAAGATGTTTCCTCGAAAACGGTAAGTAGCTAAATGACCAGTGAAGCCTCTACGGATAGAGCCAGTGGAGCTCTATATTCGCCCCATTTAAACTGTGTTTCGAAAATGCATAGTTTCTGAGATATTTAATTATAAAAATTTCGATTATCGATTTTCTCGATATTAAACCTTGAAAAAATATAAACACTTTGAAAAAAATCGAATCATTAACTTTTTTTCCACTTTTCTCACCTGGTACGTTTAGAAGACGTTAATGTAAAATTGTAAATGCAATTTAACCCCCTTTTTAGGTTATGTTGCATTTTAGAAAAATTGCCGAAAATGAAAAATTCGGTTTTATTTTTTCTCACCCTGTATGTACTTTTTTTGACAAACTGTGTACACTAAAAAATTTAACTAAATCAATTAATCAAGTCCAATCTGCATCGATCCACGCCCAAAAAATCTTTCAAACCGGAATAAGTGAAAAAGTTCGATTTTGGTCGGGAAAATATTTGGAAATTTTCGAAACACAGTATTAATAGGGGAATTATAGGGCTTCATTGGTCGTTTAGCTACTTATCGTTTTCAAGCTACTAAATCTTCGTAAAGTCGATTTTTATGTCTATCTATAGAGTCGTGCATCAATGAAATTTTTAATTATTGGTATTTTTTAAAAATCAAATAGTACATCTTATAGAACTTTTGGGGTGCTATTCAGAACTCTAACCAAGAACTGTTTTTCAATATTGCATTTCCTTCGTAAAGTCGATTTTTATGTCTATCTATATAGTCGTGCATCAATGAAATTTTGAATTATTGGTATTTTTTAAACGATGTACTTAAACAGCCGTTAAACGGTAGCCTACTAAAATGCCGTTAATAGATATTGTGACGTCGTTCATGTTGGCGGAAAGTAATGCCTAACCTTAAGCATTTTGCAAGAGCACCTGTGGGTCAGTGGCTGAGGCTATCGCTTCGTAAGCGGATGGTCCGTGGTTCAAATCTCACGCCGACCAAGACTTCTTTTATATTTTTTTTGCTTATAACGTGATCTTATTGCATTGCTTTCACTCTTTTTGATTGGATTGGTTTAGTTATTTGGCCGGTTGGTTAGCGTGGTTATTTGGAGGGTGTTAATTCATTGGTTAGTTGGTTATTTGGTGGGGTTGGTTGATTTTTACTAATTTATATTTGTTTTTTATATTTTTTATCAGTGTCGAGGTTAGTTGCGTTGGTTAAGTTGGTTATTTGGAGGGGTGGATAGCGTTGGTTAGTCCTTATAAAATTCCTATATTTCATAAAGCCGTCAAGTGCGTCACATCAACGACGTCATACCTATTAACGGCATTTTAGTAAGCTACCGTTTAACGGCAGTTTAAGTACAGCCTTTTTTAAAAATCAAATAGTACATCTTATAGAACTTTACATCTTATAGCTACTTATCGTTTTCAAGCTACTAAATCGTTTTCTACGAGTCCTAATAAAAATCTACGAGTCCTAATCTAATTTTATTTTTTAATTTTTGTAGTAAAATATCTCGATTATTTTAGACTTATTTGAAAAAGGGTAAAGGGAAAATATGTTTCTTTTGTCGAGATCTACCAGTCCTGATAATGTGTGCACTTATTTACAACTCATCCTGTGTAAAAATTTTAATTTTAAATCTATAACTTTATTACGAATCATAAATATATACCGGGAGCGTCTCAAAAGTGGCTCACCCCTATAACTTTTTATTTTGTCAGATAAAAAAACGGGATTTGGTATGTTAGTATATGACATAAATTAGGATAGATTAACGTGTTCAATAATTGAAAATAACAATAACCGAAAACAATAATAATTATTGTTTTCGGTCGCTTCTTGTTTCACCGAGTAGAATAACATATCATATGTCAATTTTTGACATTTTTGCTTAAAACAAAATTATATTTTAAATTTCAATCTAGAGTGCCATGGGTGTGTCAAAAACACTAATTTTTAATCAAGGAGCCTTGGAAAAATAGATTTGATTGTCTAATGTTTTTAGTGTCTCTTCCTGGTCGGGTAAAATATGCTCAAATCATAGACTTAAAATAAAATTTATTTTATTTTAAGTATATGGCTCAAATCGTATTTTTAATCATATCTCAATTTTTCCAAATGAAACGAGGGTGGCTCATTAGCATATTTAGAAAAAGCATTTTTTTACGAATAATAATTTGATACCACACACTTGGTATTTCGAGTCAAATCGTCGCTTTGATCCGCATGTTCCAATTTCAAATAAATCATATAAAAATGTCAAAAATTGACATATGAAATGTCATTCTATTCAGAGTGTCATTTTCTATCGAATAAAGTAGAAATATACCGAGGGTGCCATTTATAAATCAAAAGTTGTAGTCATTTCCGGTGAAACAGTAAGTGACCGAAAACAATTGAATACGTCAATCATTCCTAATTTATGTCATATACTAACATACCAAATCCCGTTTTTTTATCTGGAAAAATACAAAAGTTATAGGGGTGAGCCACTTTTGAGACGCACCCGGTATTATAAAAATAATAAAAATCTATATTATAAGTGAATTATGGATTTCGACAACGAAAATACTTTTTTAAAAAATTTTATTTTTCACAAAGTATGTTTAACAGATACAATGAATACAATGGTTAAGAACAGAATGACAATTTTAATGCGCTTGGTTATATTTATAAGTTCGGTTTCGCTCGCGTCTTCGTGGGAATACCATGCAATTTCCTCTCACATAACTCCTCCCTTCTTAAATGGAAAATGTGAGGGGTGGCGAATCATTTTCAGGATGTTCCTCTCGGGGTTGCTTCATTTTTTCTATCTTCTTTTTATAGATAGGCCATGTAATCCAACAAATCATTGCGATGACCAGAATTGTAATGGCAATGCTAGCGAAACTCCATCCTACAGGGTGTATCACTTCATTAAAAGGTTGAAGTAATTTAACTTTTTCCTGAAGTTCAGATATTTCATGGATATTTATTGACTTAATATCGATAGGTTGATCTTCTTTTTGAGTTTTCTGGTCCAACGTAGATTTTCGGTAAGGTAAAGGGCATTCCTTGAATTATTTCTTCTTTATTGATGAATTGATAGCTTGATACATTTACTTCACAGTTCAGTTCGATTTCTATCAGGCTTGGATCGCTGATAAATTTATTTTCTTTTTCATCACCACACTGCTGCTGAATTTTCAATGGTTCTTCAGTAGGTATTGCGACGATATATTTGTTGTTGATTGGTTTTATAATTGGGTTCTTGATGAACGTTTTTACTGTATGGCAGGAGTGGATTTCGGCATCTTTGATTAGTGTCGATATACAGTCGTTGTTTGTTGGCTGAAGTTTATTTGACAGATATGGATGTCTTCGATAACTGGGCATTCTTCTTCTTCATATTGTAGATGGTTCATGCCAAGTGTAAGGAAAGGTTGATTTGGTAAAATTATCGATTGATTGATGGGAATAGGGAATAGGTGAAATGTATCGAAAATCTCTTTTAACGATATTGGAAAATGAACTGCAAATATTATTTTATCCTCTGAATAACTTACTTGAAGGCCAGCTAATTGATAATACGAAATTACATTCTTAAACGTTATTATATTTTGCTCACCATATAACTTAGTTAAATACGATACTGAGTAGTACAGCTCGGATGCAGACATCACGGCGCTATGTAAGGTGTTAAGTTTCGCAAACATTAGTGCGTTTTCTATATTATCTAAAAATGTAATTAAATTTTGGCAATTTAAAATTATTTGATGTAATGTATTTTGGATATTCAAATATTGTGCAGAATTTCTAATTTGTTTTTCCAAATTTTGTATTTTATTTCTTATCATCTTTTGGTTTTCATTAAGGAGAGTTATAGAGTCATTATAACTATTAATGAGTTGCCTTGTTAAAGATATTTGTAGAGATATTTCTTTATGCAAAGAATTTTGATTATTTGATAGTATAGAAATTGCTTTGCCATATTTTTCACCATCTTCGCTATCTAAAGTGCCAAATAACCATTTTGATGTTTTGCCTATAATATTAATTAAACCGCGCTTATTTCGGCGATGAGGCGTAATATTATTTAATTTAGTTTTGGCTGTCAGTATGAAATGTTTCGCATGCGCAAGCATGTTCGGAAAATGAATGTAGTTTGTGGAATGTACTGAGTCATTGTGATATCTATAAATAGAGTCTTCTAAATGATTATAAAATTGTTCAATATTGGATAGCTGGTCATAAATGGGTTGTGTTTGAACGTAATGTAAGAATGTGTGTTTGTGTTCTGTTATTCGTGTCTTGCCTAAATAAAAAGGAAGCAAAGGAGAGTTAGAGTGGATATTATAACTTTAGAAAAGGATAGGTTAATGATTAGTGTTAGTATAGCTACATGAAGGTTGAGACGGGTCAACTTCATCTTCGTTTTGTGTGTCCTGTGAAGAAATATTAGTACTATTAAGAGGTCTCTTAATTTGGGACTTATGAATAACTTTATTTTTGTCAGTAATTATTTTGTTCTCTAAGTTTTGTCGGACGGTATGTTTCGTATGTTTGGCTTTTGTTTTACTTCTTGCTGCCATTTTATTTTTAACATAACATTTGGATCCTGGAGAGAAAGTAGGCGGATTTTCGCGTTTCTCATTTCTCTTCCGAATAGTCTTTTCTTTTGAATTATTACTTTGTTCGGTAATTTTATTATAAAGAAGTTTTAATTTTTCT